CCGTTTCTCGTAAACTGTACTGACTTTGAAAACGAAACTCGGTGAGCGGGGGGGCGGCCGGATGTGCTATTAGCCTGAAGACAAGATGGCGTCGAGGACGCGACGCTCTTCGAGTTGATGCACATTTTCTGGGATTAGATGTCGAAAACGGTCATACAGTGCTAATTTGACCGCTGCGCGTCAAAGTACACGACCCTACGGTGTAAGGAAAAATGGAACCAGCAATTTAACTATCGTAGTTTACGACAAATCGTAAAACGTCACATTGACGATTACATTTTTTATTTTTTTTTGAAAACACTTATAGGCCCATTTGAGGCGTGTTAAGGCGGATCCGTTAAGGCAGGTTTCGGAGCTCTATGTGATCTCTGTGATTTTATGTGATTTTCTGGGTAACATTTTTCCATCTTTAACTAGTTATGTACATTTGCAACACTGATATGTACGTGTCCATTTGCCATTACGTATATTGCCACTGCCAATATGTTGTAATGCAATTGGACAAACTAACACAAGTACTCTTTTGAGACCCAAAGGGCTTACAGACGCACAGAGCCTGCAATAGTTACCTGAATTGGAACCATAAAAGAACCGTCAGACCTAGAGCTCTGAAACTTTAAAAAACGGTTCTAGAGCTTAAGCCGGTCCTGCATAGTGAGTTTCGTGGCTCTAGGCGGTTCTCCGGCCGAGAAACAGCCTCGTACATTTGCAATACGTTCCATTCATTTTTATCATCACGAAAATTACGACATTTAGAAAAGTCCCAGAATCACAAGGCTGGCCCATAGAAACGGAACATAAAAGCCTCTGGCCGATAGCTCGTTCAGGGACCCCGTAGCGACCCCTGAAATAAGTGATTTTTCAGCACTAATTAAGGTCGCTGCGCGGGCTCCGAATGACCCATCAAGCCGAAACTCTGGATTCCGGTTCGCCTCAGCTGGGCCTACACATAATAATAATAATATGCCATTTAGCAGACGCTTTTACATAATGTCAGAATCGGACCCGCAGCTTGAACGTAACTACGTGTTTTATGGTTTTTTATGGTTTCGAACAGAAGGCGCTATGTGTTTTGGTCCGGCTCTGACATATGTGATAGGTGGCTTCTAAACGAGTTGGACAAAGTGAGTTTGGTGTCAGATTGTATCCGTTTGGTGTCAGTATGACATTTTTTTGGAGTGATGGCTGAGTTGATGGCTGACTGTCCAATTGCAGTAGAAAGTATTGGCAGTGGCAATATGTCATATGGCAAATGGACACTCTCCATCACCCAAACAGGGAGTTACCATCACCAAGTTGTCATGCTGAAACCATCACTGAAAGGCAAATGGATGGCATCACTTAGTCTCTAGGCCGTTCCGAGTTCAACGAGGTGCCCCACTTGACCGTAGCTCGCTCGGGCTGACCGCACCGTCAGTGCAGATAAGTAGGCCCGGAATGAAGCCTGACTAGTAGTGATTTCAACATGATTGGACATTTTGCGGCCTCTGGGTCTCACAGAGACGCGCCATTTTCGACTATCTCATCGGGGGGAGGTTGGGGTGGACAAGCCACAGAGTTATTTTAGCTGCGTGCAGCGGTTCATTCAGTCTGATCCATCCGAGTTGTTTCCCAAAGGATAACATGGGTATACATGTAATGCTCTAACTCTGCTCCTATTTATGCAATTTGCAAAATTCCTTTTGCCACGTGTCCAGGGTCACCTTTAGCTCTTCTGATATGAATACAGTACATGGTCCCCTTCATATACTAAAACAGAAGGATGACCTTTACTATCAACAGATGAACAGGGGTGAAATAAAAAAAAACGAGCTTTCTGAAAATCAACACTGAGAGGCAAATGGATGGCATCACTGCAATCTCGAGGCCGCTCCGAGTTCAACGAGGTGCCACACTTGACCGTAGCTCGCTCGGGCTGACCGCAGTGACTGTGCAAACAAAAAAGGCCCAAAATGAAGCCTTGACCTCAATTTATATGCTTTTGGGCCACAGCGAGAGAACCGTTGAGGCTAGAAACACAATTCAACCACAGGAACGCTCCTAAGGTCCTCCCGATCCGCGCAAGCCTACCCGTGACCATGTGGAATTAACCCTTAACAGTGACAACAGCGTGCATTTATTCACACTCATTTCCCCCCATAGAAATACATTGCCTGCTGCCCTAACTTCAACTTGATGCCTATGTGGGTTTTGATTGCCATATCAAACTGTCTTCTTTGTCAACCCATCGGGCCACTATAAGGATTACCTGTGTTGAGTTTAAGCTTCCTGGAGCAACCGGAAGTGGTAATATTGACCCTAAACATGGTTTAGATTGACCCAACCTGCAGATTGTGAAAACGCTACATTCAACCCTCTGTAAAAAATTCACCTTGACCTGAAACTCAGGATTCTGTATGAGCGTATCCCAATGAGGATATGTGTTTAATTACAGCTTCCTGTGACAACCGGAAGTGCCTTAAAATGGGGTCATATGTGCTGTTTCAAAGGGTTAAAAAGGTCACATCCTTCCAAAATGTCACATGTGTGATTAGGCAACCCTCATGAACCGGTAAATAGCAGAAAACCGGGTTTTTATTAGTTGTTTTTTTTGAGCGCACAGCCTACTCTATGGAACTATAGACCTCCAGGCCTCTAGGCCTCCACCCCCTGCCCAGTCACTAGGTGCACTCCTGGTAACCCGTCCATCACCAGGTGTACTCCTGGTAACCAGTCCGGTCACCCATGCCTGACAGCATGGATGTGTGTTTTAGTGGGAGTAGTGTGTTTTGGAAATAGAATGCATTTGACTAGAGGCTGACAGCATAGGAGGGGTGACATCATTGTGACTGTTTTTGAAACAGAATGTGTTTGACTAGGAGCTGACAGCAAGGTGAGAGTTGGAGGAGTATTTTAGTGGGAGAAGAGCTTTTTTGAAATAAAATGTGTTTAACTAGAGGCTGACAATGTGGGCCAGCATGGATGTCAGCAGGGCAACGGGGAGAAGGCACAAGTTAATAGGTCTGTCTGTGTCTGTCTGTGTGTGTGTGTGTGAGAGTGAAACTGTCCTACAGGGGGGCAGAGCAGGCAGCCCCTGTGGAGGCTGGACACTCTCTGAGGTCCAGAGAGTAAGCTGTACTCTGAAGCCCATGGGAGAGGTCTATAACTAGGCAGGGAGTGTAGAACAAGATGCATGGAGCTCCAGAGGTCACAAGGTCAATGTGGCCCTGCATGGAAGTCAGCTGGGCCACAAGGGTGCAACAGCTTTAACAGAATCCAACAGCCGAGTGTCGTTATAATGGACTTGTATGTTTGCCATATGAAATAAAGCCTATGCCACTGTAACATAATGGCATTGGTAATGTTTCATATGGCAAACGTACAAGTCCATTTGCAATACATTTCAATGGGCATTTATTATCACCAATTGGACTTGCTGTAACATGCTGTTAAAAAGCTTAAAAGCAAATTTTCAAGATTATTGAACTCGGGCTGGCCAACAAATGATAGTGGATCCTCCCCCTTACTCATTGGTGTTGATTTCAGCATGTCCATTTGGCTCATAATAAAGGCCCATTTAAACATATTCCAAATGTACTTGTACGTTTGCCATATGAAACATTGCCAATGCCAATATGTTATACTGGCATTGGCTGTATTTCATATGGCAAATGGACATTGTACATTTGCCATATGAAACATTGCCAATGCCAACATGTTATACTGGCATTGGCAATATTTCATATGGCAAACGTACAAGTACATTTGGAATATGTTTGAATGGGCCTTTATTATGAGCCAAATGGACATGCTGAAATCAACACCAATGACTAAGGGAGAGGTTCCACTATCACTTCTAGACCATCACGAGTTCAGTGAGCTTTACATTTGGGCAATTCAGCTTTGTAATAGCAAATTACAGCATGTCCAATTCATGATCCATTGTAAGATATTGCTATTACCCATAATTCATTGCCAGTCTTAACATGTTATACTGCTATTGGACAGTGTCCATTTGTCATGTGATGTATTGCCAGTGCCAACATGTCCAGTATAACAGGGATATGAGGGGATTGAGGGAGTGGAACCTAACATACTGATATATATATATATATATATATACCATTTTGTCATTATACAGGCCATTTGGACATGGTTCACTTACTTTGGGTTTGGAACTGACTTCCTATGATCATATCTGGCAAATGGACATGACATTTGGTACTTTCAAGACTTACATATGCCATTTGGACATTTAATATGACATTTGGACATTATATATATATAATTTGTATGTTTCATATGCCATTTGGACGTTTCATGTGCCATTTGGACATGGTTCTGACTTTTCGGTCCAGAACCCAACTTCCCGTGATCTGATGTGACAAAAGTACACTTTGTCCATTTGCAATATAATGTGTGACAAATGAACAACTTGTCCATTTGGCAGTGTAACATGCCTGATATGGACATTCCATAGGCCTAATGGACAAACCAACATATAATAAAACAAATCTATATCCATACGGTTCTTTAATAGTGTATAATTTAGAAAAAATCGAACACTCATTTCCACCCTCAAATTTGACTTTAGAGTACATTTGAAATATGCTCACGAAATATTAGTTTCGCTTGCCCCCGACACACTCCTCTCTTTCTTAAAGGGGAATTACACTCTAAAATCTAAATGTTCGTTTCTTTTTAAGACTTCAAAATTGGGTCTTCTGATGTGAGCATTGCATGGACTCAGAACATCCGTACTGAGAGTAAACAACTACAACTAGATCTAAAACCAGGAAAAATAAAACAGAGAAAACAGAATTCCAGAAAATAGAAATGTTATGGGCCCCCCATAGAGTTGATTATTAACCATTATTTTACCGGGTATATTGACAGAAAAACACATCTCTTGTACACCAAGGACTCTGGGAAGAGTTGCAGCGTAGAGGAGAATAATGTGCCTATTTAAAAGCTACAACAAATGTGTAGGTCACCCCTGCTTTACAGTATGTTAATGTTTCCTATCCTGTCCCTACCAGCCCTGTACCTGGTCTAGCCATCTCAGGCCTGTTGTCATGGTGTCTCGGGGACTTCTGTCCTTCACTGTCCTTCCCCCTGCGAATGACCACCAGGGCCTGAGTGGACAGTCTAGCCTGGTGGAGACAGGACAGGGCTTCTCCGTGGGACATCCCTTCCAAGCTGCTGCCGTTGATGGACAGGACACTATCCCCCCGCTGAATGGTACCTTCCAGGCCGGCCACGCCTTTGGAGAACACCCGATGGACCTGCCCCAAACAGAGGAAAGTGGGAGAGTTAAGAAGTGGAGCTGAATCCCAAATCAACTCCTAGCACCTACACACTAGGCACTCCGATCTATCTGAAGGGATTGGATTGGTGGTAAGTGGAGTGGGTGAGTAAAGAATTGTTCAACATTGAATACAGAAAAAAACATTTGTTTACTCTAGGTTTGTCATTAATTACTCCATATCTTTCATCACACATTTTCAAATGAAAATATATATTTTTTAAACATTTACTATACTACTGTTCTACTACTGTTCTTACAGTTATGGACTTCTGCTCAAGGTCCATTCCACCAGCGATGCTGAAACCAAGTCCGGATCCCTCTTCTTTAGAGAAGACTACAAAGTGGGTATCATCTTTAACCTAGGGGAGGGGAGACCAGAAACAACACACACAACGTGAACTTTCAAGACAAGGATGAAAATACTTCAACAATGTCTCAGACATTATATCCCTGACACTCCTCTCCTCTAGCCTGGTTACACATCTGCTAGTGCTGTCTTAACAACTCCTATGGTCAAACACTGTTGGAAAGAGGGCACAAGCAGATGTAGGACCGTGCTACCTCTCCTCAACCTAATATCTGATGTGTTTAGTTATTTGTGTTCATTTCCCAGAAGCCATCCTTTATCATCCAAACTCATCCTGTTTATCCTGAACTACCTGATCCCCTGAACTACCTGATCCCCTGTTTACCCTGATTTGGTGAGTAGTTGACTCAAAGAGAGAGAAAGACAATAGTTTAACAGTGTTGAACAAATTCATTTCTTCAAAAATGAAGGAGAAGCAAGAGAGCGATTTATATATATATTTAGTTGCATTTTTTTCACTTAAATTTTCACTGAATGCAGCTAGCAAGTTTAGCCTACTCAAACACCCGGGTTAAACATAGAGGGATGCTATGTTAGCTAGCTGGCTATGGCTATCCAACACTGGAACTCTTCCAAGTCAAGGTAAGTGTTTGGTTGTATTAATTTATTGCCACTGGAGCCCGCCAGTGTAACTTCTAAACTGCTTGCTGACTGTACACTGTACTGCATGATTGTAGCGGGTTTACTAACGCGTTAGTTCTAGTAGCTATGTTGACTATGACGTTATCTAATATGGTGACAACGATGTAGGCTGTGTGTAGCGGTTAGCGGTTATGTTATGAAGGTTTTACATGGAACGTTTTTTTCGCCTGGTCACAGACAGCTGATGTGTTGTGCACTGAAGTCCACAAGCGAAGGGAAAAAGTGAGAGGAGAGTGTGTAGATGCGAGAAGGAATTATTCAATGAGCAAAGTAATCATGATGTTTGTATGTGGCTGCTATGAAAGTGAACTGTGTTTAGGTGTTTAGATAGGTATAGGGAAAATTAAAGTATCATTTAGTAGCCTAAACTTATAGATGTTACATTGAGCTGGGTGAATGGAATATCAATGACAGTCATCCAATATGCTGTAATAGAAATAAGGCCATTCTCATAAAAAAAATAAAAAAAATCATCCTGCCTCATCTTAAACGGCACCGACTGCCACTGCATTCAACCCACTGTTAGTGTCAGGAAAAAAGCAGGTGATGCCTCAGGGAGGAGAGACAGGTGGTCAGGGAGGAGAGACAGGTGGTCAGGGAGGAGAGACAGGTGGTCAGGGAGGAGAGACAGGTGGTCAGGGAGGAGAGACAGGTGGTCAGGGAGGAGAGACAGGTGGTCAGGGAGGAGAGACAGGTGGTCAGGGAGGAGAGACAGGTGGTCAGGGAGGAGAGACAGGTGGTCAGGGAGGAGAGACAGGTGGTCAGGGAGGAGAGACAGGTGGTCAGGGAGGAGAGACAGGTGGTCAGGGAGGAGAGACAGGTGGTCAGGGAGGAGAGACAGGTGGTCAGGGAGGAGAGACAGGTGGTCAGGGAGGAGAGACAGGTGGTCAGGGAGGAGAGACAGGTGGTCAGGGAGGAGAGACAGGTGGTCAGGGAGGAGAGACAGGTGGTCAGGGAGGAGAGACAGGTGGTCAGGGAGGAGAGACAGGTGGTCAGGGAGGAGAGACAGGTGGTCAGGGAGGAGAGACAGGTGGTCAGGGAGGAGAGACAGGTGGTCAGGGAGGAGAGAGTTAAGAGAAAGGGCCTTGTCAGCACCATATGGGATTTATTTGAGAAAACAGAAAAGGAAACTTCAATATGCAGTGTGTGTAAAACTTAGTGTATGGCTGAGTGCATGGCAGGGAACACAACCAACCCCACAAATCATTAGAAAAATTATCATAACCGAAATCGAAAACAGTGATTATTTTATGAAAAAAACGAATCGAAACCGAACCGACCACTATCGTGTGTGTGTGTTTGTGTGTTTTACTCGTTACCTCAGAGAGAGCCTTGGCCTCCTGTAGCAGGGCCAACACGTCTGTCTTGGCGGTCAGTGAGGCCAGGACCGCCTGCAGCTTACTCTGCTCCACCGGAGAGCCAGCCAACACTGTCAGACTGCAGAGGAAATGGAAGACTCAGATATGAGTTGGGATTTACTGCTTCACTCGCGTGTGTGTCTGTGTGTGTATGTGTGTGTGTGTGTGAGTGTGAGTGTGTCTGTCTCTGTGTGCGAGTGTGTGTGCGTGTGTCTGTCTGTGTGTGTGTGTCTGTCTGTCTGTCTGCATCCTTGGGAAGATTAAGTATTGGATATTTGATTCGTTTTGTAGAAATAGTATAGACAGGGTTGGTGTTCTCACTTACCTGATGGACCGGTTCTGGATATCTGTCTGCTGCCCATTGGTTTTCCCCTGAATGGGGTCCAGGCTGGCCCCAGTGTCCACCCAGCTGGCCCTGGTCAGGTGCACCCCGGTGGGGGCAGCAGGCGGGGAACAGCCCCCTGTCTGGTTCTGGATGACCTCTGTGGGCCTGGCTGGGTGTATCTCCAGCTCCGTCTTAAAGGTGGCGGCGTTAGTCCCTGGGTCGCTGGAGAAGTCATCGGTGCAGAGCTTGTCCAGGTCTGGCATGCTAAGGGCCCTGAGCTCCCTCAGTCTGGACCGGGACAGGTTGGAATGGCCTCGGGTCTGGCGGCTCCGCATCACCGGGGGCGTCTGAGGGGTTAGGGTTACGACTCCTGGGGAGATTCTGGGACTTTCTTCATCCGCAAATTTGTCCTGGGTTTGTCTGAGGGGAGCTTCGCTAGCGCTGCAGTTTTGCGTCAACAGGTCAACGTTTGTGAGGGTCATGCTCGACGGTGACTTGCGAAGCTGAGGTGACATTGGGGTCAAGGGGGTTGACGCTTTGAAGTTGTCGACGCACGAGCTGAAGCTCCTTCGTAGCGAGCGGCAGTCCACGGAGCTCACCGATCCAGACATGTAGCCGGACAGTCTCCGGTTGAGAGGCGGCTTCAACGTTGCAGTCAGAGCATAGGACTGAGCAAAGGACTGGATGTCGATGCATTTGAGGACTGGCTTGTCGAAGCTGGCCAGGTTCTCGAAGGACTTGATCCTCTGGCGGACAGAGAAGAGGTTGGGATCCCCGGGGGCGCTGTTGTCCATGGAGAAACTACGGCGATCCATCGCCTTCAGTTTGGACTCGTTGCCTTTGACGCTCTCAGTTTCATCCATCTCTTTTATACTACAGCTCCTGTGAGAGATGGGACCATTTCTCATAGGCAAAGGAACCCCATCTATGGATTCTAGAACTACTGAGTTCACTGCTGAATCACTGGTAGTGTTGTTGACCTTTTCAGGATTACACACCGAGCCAGGGGTTGCAGGGGTTCCTGGCCATAGACTAGTCTCTACTGGACTTCCATTGACCTGATCCTTGTGTGGAGTAATATTTGTGGTATGAGTAATTGAGTAATCCTTTGAATTCCCAGTTTCCTTTGGTGTCAGAACTGGTGTAGACGAGGAAGAGGAAGGAGGAGTAGAGGATGAGAGTCGCACCTCGATGAAGGTCCTCTGGGTAGTCGGGACTGGCTCTGGTCGTTCTTTTGGCTTGGCCACCGCCAAAATCCCTTGCTCCACCTCTTTGTGTAGACGGAGCTCCTCTGCCTTCGTCTTGGTAGCTGATTGTGATTGGCTGATTGGTTCTGACGTAGTAGTGGTTGTGCGGTTGGACTTGTCCTGGCCTCCGTCACCTGTTTTGGGCATGACAGGGCTACTGCTACTGCTGCTCCGGTCTTGCTGTTTACCAATCTTTAGGCTACTGGTTACGGCTGCCTTCCTGGTAAGCAGAGTGGAATCCACGTTCCTGGTTTGCAGGAGGGAGCCCACCTTCTTGGCTTGCAGTTTGGGGGACTGGAGCGGGGAAATGTTGTTGGCTTTCCTCAGAACCGACGGACTTTCTGCTCTGGCTGGTTTTGGGGAAAGCTGCTCCTGGGGTTTGGTTTTACTCTTGACGCTGAGCCCCTTCATTTTGGGAACAGTGTTGCTGGTCTTCTGGACTTTGTCATTGACTCTGAGCCTGCTGCTACTGCTGGATAGAGGAGTGTCTGTTGAAGTGTTGTTGACTGATTTGGGACCGGACGTCCTGAGAGAGGGACTAGTAGGGTTATTCTGGACCAACCTGAGTTCCAGGGAAGTTAAGGGAACTTTCTCTCTCTCCCTGTCTCTTGTTGTTAGCGATGTTGATGGGGGAACTTTGTCTCTCTCCCTGTCTCTTGTTGTTAGTGATGTTGATGATGGTTTAGATGCGCCTGACCAGCCATTGTTATAGTTGGAGGGATTTGCCTCCGCCACCATTGAGTGGGATGATGATGATGATTGTGTGTTAGATAGTTTCCCTAAAGCCGCAGCCGGTGAAACGTTTGTACGGAGTCGGGCTGACATCTCCTGACTCCGTCGCACAACGTTGTGGCTAGCCGCTGCAATGGGGGTACTGCAGACGCTTAATGAAGGAGCATGGCTGGGTTTTATTAGAGGTGTTACAACAGTGTCACAAACCCTGTTGGCACTGTTGACAACACATTCTGAAGGCCCTGCGGGGCTTGTGGTGGGCTCAGAATCTGTGTCCTTGGAAGACTGGCGGGGCATTACTTGGCAAGGGGAACCTTTGGCCTCCACAGCCAGACAGGCACCTGAGCATTGAGAGCCAGAGGCAGGCAGACCCTGAGACAGTGAGGGGAATGGTTTCGGATCGGGGTTGGATTGGGTCGTTACAACAGAGCAGTCTTCATTTTGCTGGGAGGCAGCAGAAGCAGCAGTGGCAGCGGAGGAGGAAGAAGCAGCAGAGTCTAGTGCTACATCAAAGGGCCCAGTCTCCTTTGTATTGTGGCTGCCGTCAGAGCCAGAGATAGAGATAGAGAGCTGGGGAGACAATGGCCCATCTGTTAGGTGAGTCAGCTCAGCCTGGATCAGAGTGCTGGGCCGCTGGGCCTCACTGTAACAAATCTCCACTTCCTCCTCATCTGAATCCGTGCCTTGGGGCTCAGCGCCGACACCGCGGCTCGCCGGTTTGTTATAGCTGGCAGCGCCACGGCTGTTGTCGGTGGCAGTGTCTTCGCTCTCCGAATCACTGTCGCCGACCATGTCGTACATGTTGCAGTTTGAGGCGGCAGCAGAGGCGCCGGGGGGTCTCTCCACCCCGTTTGAAAGAGCATTCATTCCCTCGTCTGTGAGATTACTGCTACAGTTTCTGGAGTAGTCGTCGTTCAATAATGTTTTACCCAAGAGGCAGCCTTTCTTTCCAGAGTCCAAGACAGAGAAATCCAACTGACTGGGCAACGTTGGAGGAGTCTGAACTGTGCTTTCGTCGTTGTCTGGCAGGGTCTTGCTGTCTAGAGCTGACTCACAGACCATAGTCTCAGTACGTTGTGCTTCTGAAGGGGCTTTGAGGGTTTTGGAAGAGAGGGCACTCTTAACATCGGAGGAGCTTAGTTTGGTTATGACGTCGTCAATGTAGGTGACAGGTATATCACTGCTGTGGTTGTGGTTGATTGGGGCTGTGGGTTTGGGATTGTGATTGGTCGGTGAGGAGGAGGAGGAGGAGGGACTTCCTGGATTTGGAGTGCCCCCATTGGCTTCCTGGGGAGTTCTGGACTGATCCAGTCCGGAGGGTCCCATGACATCACAACTCCCCGATGACATCATGAGGCTGGACAGGCGATCTACAGCTGTAGGAGGAGAGATTCATTAATTACTGTAGAGGCAGTCAGGTTTTGGTTGACAAATTAAATTCAAGTTAAATTGCTCTTATACTTACAGTGTAGTAGGACTAACATTGTAATTCCTACAGAAACAACATTGTTGTTAACATTATTTTAGTAATTATATTTACTGAAGTGCAATTTAACAACAAGTAGGCTTCTCATTCTCTTCAGAATGTTAATTCTTCAACTGAATGAGATATTTATTTCAGCAACCTCATGTCATCAAGCCACTATAAACCAGATATGAGAGAGTTGAGAAATGAGCACTGGGATTTAGTATTTAATGGGATATTCATTAATACTGATCATGTGACCCAATGCACCAATAACATCAGACATACCAGGAAGTCAGATTACATACTGTATCTGTTTTAGAAATCAACTTTCCTTTGAATCCAGCACATTTCCACTGACCTGGATTCCCAATATCCAGAAAGACCTTGGAAAAGCTCTCGGATCAAATGGCAAATTCCTAAAATCTGACGTGAAATGGAAAGCTTTTGGGGATCGAACCAGCAGCCCGTTTGGTCTACAGCCCAGCAGAAGCAGGTCTGTTGTAGCCTGGTTAAACCAGACTGAATGCTGTGCTCACCATGGTTTCACACAGAGCATCAGTTTGGATGCCAGGCTTGGTCTGTTGTGCATTAAGTTAAAAATGATGAAATACAATTGATGACAAATACAGTGTTATTGTGTGACATCATGCTTTACAAAGAAGAGGGTGATTTGATCTCCACACTTCCCACACAGAGACAGGCAGACAATGACACACAGGCAGGCAGGCAGATGGACAGAATATTAGGCGCACACAGTTAGGCTACTCTTCTATAGATTAGGTTAGTTGGTGTTGTGAGTGCCGAGGCAGCCGCCTCTAAAGCAGTGTGGTTCCAGAAAGACATTAACCAATAAGTGACCAATAAAGCAACTCACAGAAATCACACAAACGTCCCAAAACAACAACAACAAAAAAAAGCTAGAAAAATCTAATGTCAGCTAATGCTAGCTAATAAGGCATGTGGAAGCGGGGGACTTCTACGAACTTCTACGGATCTACTACTGGTAGGTTTAGCAAAATTCCGGTAACTTTCCCAACATTCCCTGATTTCCCAGAAATCCTGGTTGGAAGATTCCCGGAATCTGGAGGAAATAATCAGGAAATACGGACCTCCAACCAGGATTTCTGGAAAAAACTGGGAATTTTGGGAAAGTTACTGGAATTTCACTGTCGGTGGTCAGTTTCTGGTCAACTACTGGTCAGCTACTGGTCAACTAGTGAGGTAAATAAATGGATAGTCACCATGGATACAAAACCAGCAGCGTGCTGTTCCCTTTGGGGTGCAGGGTTAGGGTACTGCCAGCAGAGGGCAGACTGCTGAGGTCCTATGTCTTAGGGAAGGCAGCATTAGGGAGGATGAAGGGGTGACGGGAAAACAGACTGTGATCTTAGTGACTAATGAGTGGTGTAGTCAAGGAGGGGTCCTGATCCAATGCTTTAAAGGGATAGTTCACTTTAGTCAAGTTTTAGCTTATTAGCTTATTATCATTCAAGTGATCTATCCTTTTAAATAGGCTTCCTTTTCATTCCTCCCTTCCTTGGATTAATCCCTGGTATTGATGTCGATCTGATGTTGATTGGATAGGTGAGAGCTATGTGATGGTTACACCCTTGTTTACATCCATCAATTTGTGTTACATCAGTGATTACTTCAAGGAAGAAAGGACAGAAGGTTATTTTATATGTTTTATTCCAACACCACAGGATAGGGCTGATGTGGAGAGTCTCTGTCTCTGATCGCTCCAGGTGAGCTCCCATTATGAGTGGTGGACAGTTGTTTAAAAAAAAAAAATGTGTTATGTTATTTTAGTTAGTCCACGAGCCCTGCCAAGGGGATAACATAACAAGACATTACAGATTATGAACACTGTCAGAATACTTCCTGTCTGGCATTAACCCCTTCATGCTATTTGGGGTTAACTCAATATTTGTTATGTTTCAAGCTTTAGTGTTGTGTTGGTTATAAAGAAATAAATATATAAAATAAATAAAGTTATAAAAAAAAAAGTTATAAAGAAAGATGTCATTGCATGACAGTGTTATGAAGACACAACATCAAATCACAGGTTGTCTGATCAGGTCTGCAGGATGACGAGTTCAGGGATTGGCTGTTATATAATGCTCCGTAAGGACGAAATTACATGACATATACGTGACATATGCATGACATAGTCTCACCTGACACGGGCCTCTTGACCTCCAGCGTGAGCGTCACAGGAAGGTTGTGCATGAGCTCACAGATGTCGTGATAGGACGAGGAGCACATGGGTGTGTCCCCAATCGACACAATCTCGTCCCCCACACACATCCTGCCCTGGGATTCCTGCAACCAGGTCATAAGGGTCACAAGGTACAGAGTTATGAAGGTCAAAGAAAGCGAAGTTACGTAAACAAGGACGAAGACATTAGGGAGAATGAATGGTTTTATTGTATCAGTGTACTGCAGTTAGATACATATTGTCTTGACTTTGGATTAACTCCTGGTACCAGTGTTAAACGGGATGATTTGTGATGTCTGTGTAATGTAGGCATTAGGCTGTAATCCAAACTGATATGGTGAAACAACGGTTTGGATTCCAGGCTGGGTAGACAACATACCCTCTCGGCCGCTCCTCCAAGCCTCAGTCCAGTGATCACCACCTTCAGAGGAGAGGATCTGATCTCCAGGTCCATACCGAAGGACTCCTCCTCACTCCTCCTCAGGACCACCCTGTTGATGGTGCAGACCCCCGCCAACTCGCTGCAGGCCTCGCCCTTCTTACAGAGGGGGTTGGGGTTAGACCCAGGTCGGCCCAGGGAGCGGCTGGAGGCTACGCCAGGCTCAGGGACCAGAGGCTGGGAGGATGGGGACGTTGGAGACTCCTCTCCTTTGGGTCTCTGGTTCTGGTTCTGCTGGTTGGTTGGCTGGATGGGCGGGGCCTCGATGCTCATCATACTCTTCACGCGGGTCACAGCCTTGTGTTCCAGCTTAGGGGAGCGCCTGGGCTCCAGGGGGCCCTGAGGGTCCTCCCTCACACCCAGGTTACTGGGGCCTGTCGTGGGGCAAGACCCTCCTCCTCCCCCGGGGGTCTGGTGGTGGTCCGACCGGCGGATAGGCATGAAGGGTGATTCGGCGCCGGAGGAAGGAACAAAGCCGACCCATTCCTCTGACTCCAGAGAGATACTATGAAGCAGGATGGATGGACCTTCACACTCCTCGTCCACCTCCACTGATGACGTAGAGATCATGATGCCAGAGTCAGAGAGCACCCCCATGGTGGTACCATGACCAGCGACCTGGCGGAAGGGCAGGGTAACTAGAGAGAGAAAACGAGAGAGAGAGAGAGAGAGAGAGAGAGAGAGGGAGAGAGAGAGAGAGAGAGAAAGACAGAGAGAGAGAGAGAAAGACAGAGAGAGAGAGAGAGGGAGAGGGAGAGGGAGAGAGATTGCACATTGTTACAACACTGTATATATATACATAATATGACATTTGAAATGTCTTTATTCTTTTGAAACTTCTGAGTGTAATGTTTACTGTTAATATTTATTGTTTATTTCACTTTTGTTTACTATCTACTTCCCCTGCTTTGGCAATGTTAACATACGTTTCCCATGCCAATAAAGCCCCTTAAATTGAATTGAATTGAATTGAATTGAATTGAATTGAGAGAGAGAGAGAGAGAGAGAGAGAGAGAGAGAGAGAGAGAGAGAGAGAGAGAGAGAGAGAGAGAGAGAGAGAGAGAGAGAGAGAGAGAGAGAGAGAGAGAGAGAGAGGAGGGTTTAACATACACTACCAGTCAAAAGTTTTAGAACACCTACTCATTCCAGGGTTTTTCTTTATTTTTACTTTTTTCTACATTGTAGAATAATAGTGAAGAAATCGAAACTATGAAATAACACATATGGAATCATGTAGTAACCAAAAAAGTGTTCAACAAATCAAAATATATTTTGTATTTGAGATTCTTCAAATAGCCACCCTTTGCCTTGATGACAGCTTTGCACACTCTTGGCATTCTCTCAACCAGCTTCATGAGGTAGTCACCTGGAATTCATTTCAATTAACAGTTAATTTGTGGAATTTCTTTCCCTTCTTAATGTGTTTGAGCCAATCAATTGTGTTGTGACAAGGTATACAGAAGATAGCCCTATTTGGTAAAAGACCAAGTCCATATTAAGGCAAGAATAGCTCAAATAAGCAAAGAGAAACGACAATCCATCATTACTTTAAGACATGAAGGTCAGTCAATACAGAAAATGTCAAGAACTTTGAAAGTTTCTTCAAGTGCAGTCGCAAAAACCATCAAGCGCTATGATGAAACTGGCTCTCATGAGGACCACCACAGGAATGGAAGACCCAGAGTTACCTCTGCTGCAGAGGATAAGTTCATTAGAGTTACCAGCCTCAGAAATTGCAGCCCAAAATAAATAAATGCTTCACAGAGTTCAAGTCACAGACACATCTCAACAGATGGCGCCGGAGGAGACAGCAGACCAATCAGCTAGCTGCCAGCTCTTATAATAAATAAGAGAATGGCGCCGGAGAAGATGGCAGCCGTTTAACGGCCCTCTAACCAATTGTGCTATTATGTGTGTTTTTTCACGTTATTTGTAATTTATTCTGTATATAATGTTTCTGCCACCATCTCTTATGATCAAAAAGTGCTTCTGGATATCAGGACAGAGGTTACTCACCTCGTATTGGATAAAGATTTTTTCTTCAACGAGGCGGCCGCAAAGGATATCCTACAGACACCCGACAAGGCCCAAATCCCCGTCATTCGCATGAGAAAGAGACGGAGATACCGTGGACGTAGATCGGGGTGCCTTGTAAGGATCCGACGGCGAGCGAGTAAACTGCCTCTCCCATCAATCCTATTAGCCAATCTTCAATCATTGGAGAACAAATTGGATGACCTAAGATTACAGTTATCCTACCAACGGGACATTAAAAACTGTAATATCTTATGTTTCACCGAGTCGTGGCTGAACAACATACAGCTGGCGGGATATTTGCTACATCGGCAGGATAGAACGGCTGACTCCGGTAAGACAAGGGGTCTGTGTATATTTGTAAACAACATCTGGTGCATAAAATCTAATACTAAGGAAGTCTCTAGGTTTTGCTCACCTGAGGTAGAGTATCTTATGATAAGCTGTAGACCACACTATTTTCAAAGAGAGTTTTCATCAATATTTTTTGTAGCTGTCTATTTACCACCACAAACCGATGCTGGCACTAAGACTACACTCAATGAGCTGTATAAGGCCATAAGCAAACAGGAAAACGCTCATCCAGAGGCGGTGCTCCTAGTGGCCAGGGACTTTCATGCAGGAAAACTTAAATCCGTTCTACCTCATTTCTACCAGCATGTCACAAAAAAACTCTAGACCACCTTTACTCCACACACAGAGACACGTACAAAGCTCTCCCTCGCCCTCCATTTGGCAAGTCTGACCATAATTCTATCCTCCTGATTCCTGCTTATAAGCAAAAACTAAAGCAGGAAGCACCAGTGACTCGGTTAATAAGGAAGTGGTCAGATGACGCAGATGCTAAGCTACAGGACTATTTTGCTAGCACAGACTGGAATATGTTCCGGGATTCTTCTGATGGCATTGAGGAGTACACCACATCAGTCACCGGCTTCATCAATAAGTGCATCGATGACGTCGTCCCAATAGTGACCGTATGTACATACCCCAACCAAAAGCCATGGATTACAGGAAACATCCGCACTGAGCTAAAGGGTAGAGCTGCCGCTTTCAAGGAGCGGGACTCTAACCCGGACGCTTATAAGAAATCCCACTATGCCCTCAGATGAACCATCAAACAGGTAAAGAGTCAATACAGGACTAAGATTGAATCGTACTACACCGGCTCTGACGCTCGTCGGATGTGGCAGGGCTTGAAAACTATTACAGACTACAAAGGGAAGCACAGCCGCGAGCTGCCCAGTGACACGAGCCTACCAGATGAGCTAAATCACTTCTATGCTCGCTTCGAGGCAAGCAACACTGAAGAATGCATGAGAGCATCAGCTGTTCCGGATGACTATGTGATCACGCTCTCCGTAGCCAATGTGAGTAAGACTCATAAGAAGGTCAACATTCACAAGGCCGCAGGGCCAGACGGATTACCAGGATGTGTACTCCAAGCATGTGCTGACCAACTGGCAAGTGTCTTCACTGACATTTTCAAAATGTCCCTGACTGAGTCTATAATACCAACATGTTTCAAGCAGACCACCATAGTCCCTGTGCCCAAGGGCACTAAGATACCCTACCTAAATGACTACCGACCCGTAGCACTGACGTCTATAGCCATGAAGTGCTTTGAAAGGCTGGTCATAGCTCATATCAACACCATTATCCCAGAAACTCCAATTTCATACCACCCCAACAGATCCACAGATGACGCAATCTCTATTGCACTCCACACTGCCCTTTCACACCTGGACAAGAGGAACACCTACGTGAGAATGCTATTCATTGACTACAGCTCAGCGTTCAACACCATAGTGCTCTCAAAGCACATCACTAAGCTAAAGACCCTGGGACTAAACACCTCCCTCTGCAACTGGATCCTGGACTTCGTGACGGTCCGCCCCCAGGTGGTTAGTTTGCCGACGACACAACAGTGGTAGGCCTGATCACCGACAACGATGAGACAGCCTATAGGGAGGAGGTCAGAGACCTGGCCGTGTGGTGCCAGGATAACAACCTCTCCCTCAACGTGATCAAGACAAAGGAGATGATTGTGGACTACAGGAAAAAAAAAAGAGGACTGAACACCCCCCATTCTCATCGACGGGGCTGTAGTGGAACAGGTTGAGAGCTTCAAGTTCCTTGGTGTTCACATCACCAACAAACTATCATGGTCCAAACACACCAAAGACAGTCGTGAAGAGGGCATGACAAAGCCTATTCCCCCTCAGAAGACTGAAAAGATTTGGCATGGGTCCTCAGATCCTCAAAAAGTTCTACAGCTGCACCATCGAGAGCATCCTGACTGGTTGCATCACCGCCTGGTATGGCAACTGTTTGGCCTCCGACCACAAGACACTACAGAGGGTAGTGCGTACGGCCAAGTACATCACTGGGGCCGAGCTCCATGACATCCAGGACATTTATACCAGGCTGTGTCAGAGGAAGGCCCTAAAAATTGTCAAAGACTCCAGCCACCCTAGTCATAGACTGTTCTCTCTGCTACCACATGGAAAGCGGTACCGGAGCGCCAAGTCTAGGTCGAAACGGCTTATTGACAGCTTCTACCCCCAAGCCATAAGACTAATGAACAACTAATCATGGCCACCTGGACTATTTGCATTGCCCCCACCCCACCCCCTCTTTTACGCTTCTGCTACTCTGTTTATTATCTATGCATAGTCACTTTAACTCTACCCACATGCACATATTACCTAAATTAACCGACTAACCGGTGCCCCCGCATGTTGACTCTGTACCGGTACCCCCTGTATATATAGCCTCCCTTCTGTTATTTTATTTTACTGCTGCTCTTTAATTATTTCTTATTTTTATTTTTTACTTATCAATTTTTTACTTAACACTTTTGTTCTTAAAACTGCATTGTTGGTTAAGGGCTTGTCAGTAAGCATTTCACCTGTTGTATTTGGCACATACAATATTTTATTTTATTTGTTCAGAGGGGACTGTGTAAATCAGGCCTTCATGGTTTAATTGCTGCAAAGAAACCACTTCTAAAGGACACCAATAAGAAGAAGAGACCTGCTTGGGTCAAGAAACACGAGCAATGGACATTAGACTGGTGGAAATGTGTCCTTTGGTCTCGAGTCCAAATTGGAGATTTTTGGTTCAAACCGCCGTGTCTTTGTGAGACGCGGTGTGGGTGAACGGATTATCTCCTCATGTGTATTTCCCACTGTAAAGCATGGAGGAGGAGGTGTGATGGTGTGGGGGTGCTTTGCTGGTGACACTGTCTGTGATTTATTTAGAATTCAAGGCACACTTAACCAGTATGGCTACCACAGCATTCTGCAGTGTTAACACTTTTTTTGGTTACTACATGATTCCATATGTGTTATTTCATAGTTTTGATGTCTTCACTATTATTCTACAATGTAGAAAATAGTTAAAATAAAGAAAAACCCTTGAATGTCCAAACTTTTGACTGGTACAGTACATCCAGCTATTGCACAGGAACTGAACTGCTGATCCCAATACGTCTCATAAAGACAGAAAACACAACATTTTGACCAACACGGTATCTCCTTCATGTCCTCACCAGCATCTTCATCATCGCTGACCTCATCTTCATAGCAGACGACTCGTCTCTGTCGGAGCAGCGGGCTGCGGACGGAGCTGCTACCAGGACTAACCATGCTGGGCTGGCGCTGGGTGGTCTCCACTGGCCGGCTTAAAACCGGGACACCGGGGGCCTTTTCATCTGCTCCCACACAGGAGGCATCTTTTAACCCTGCCACCAGAGGAAGACGGAGACAGAGATGTCAGGTGAGACTGAACATGATGCTGGTTTACTCACAACAGTTTTCAACACCTTTCTATGGTAATCTATAGTTTCTGAACATAATGCTGGTTTACTCAGCTGCTGATTGATGTTCTTATAGCTATACTGTAACACAACATTAGTAAACTGTTCTGCAGAAATCCCTCTCTCTGGCCCTGGCAGTTAGAGACTTTAGGACTCTCTAGCCCCAGCAGAGGCTACCATCCCCCCCGGGCGTTCACACCTCTGGCCCTGGCCACTCCATCGCTAGGGGGTTGCTAGGGGCCCTTATCACATCGTGGGGTGGACCAATCACAGGCCTTACCTGGTGGTTTTCAAACCCCCCCACATCTGTCCCTGAACTCAGTCTCCAGCAAGCAGTGTCAGAGTGAGTAGCTCTCTCATTAACGTCTGCCCTGGACCGCTCACCAGCTGGACCGCTCACCAGCTGGACCTTTCCCTTCTCCACATGGACAAGCTGTAGGTCACTGACCTGTAAAACACCTTCTACTACGCCCTCTTGCTACGTTGGAGTGTGTCTTAACGTGTGTGTGTGTGTGTGTGTGTGTGTGTGTCTTAATGTGCGTGTGTGTCTTAATGTGTGTGTGTCTTAATGTGTGTGTAATAAAGTGTGTTCTGTACTTCTGTCTCCTACTGATCTAATAGAGGCGCCGGGACAGTTGTACCTAGATTTAAACCAGGACAGTTGTACCTAGATTTAAACCAGGACAGTTGTACCTAGATTTAAACCAGGACAGTTGTACCTAGATTTAAACCAGGACAGTTGTAACTAGATTTAAACCAGGACAGTTGTACCTAGATTTAAACCAGGACAGTTGTACCTAGATTTAAACCAGGACAGTTGTAACTAGATCTAAACCAGGACAGTTGTACCTAGATTTAAACCAGGACAGTTGTACCTAGATTTAAACCAGGACAGTTGTACCTAGATTTAAACCAGGACAGTTGTAACTAGATCTAAACCAGGACAGTTGTACCTAGATTTAAACCAGGACAGTTGTAACTAGATCTAAACCAGGACAGTTGTACCTAGATTTACACTGGGACAGTTGTACCTAGATTTAAACCAGGACAGTTGTAACTAGATTTAAACCAGGACAGTTGTACCTAGATTTAAACCAGGACAGTTGTACCTAGATTTAAACCAGGACAGTTGTAACTAGATCTAAACCAGGACAGTTGTACCTAGATTTAAACCAGGACAGTTGTACCTAGATTTAAACCAGGACAGTTGTACCTAGATTTAAACCAGGACAGTTGTAACTAGATCTAAACCAGGACAGTTGTACCTAGATTTAAACCAGGACAGTTGTAACTAGATCTAAACCAGGACAGTTGTACCTAGATTTACACTGGGACAGTTGTAACTAGATCTAAACCAGGACAGTTGTACCTAGATTTAAACTGGGACAGTTGTAACTAGATCTAAACCAGGACAGTTGTACCTAGATTTAAACCAGGACAGTTGTAACTAGATCTAAACCAGGACAGTTGTACCTAGATTTAAACCAGGACAGTTGTAACTAGATCTAAACCAGGACAGTCAAGGCACTTAACCCTAATTGCTCCTGTAAGTCGCTCTGCTAAATGACCAATTATATTATTATTATTATTTGTACCTAGATTTAAACCAGGACAGTTGTAACTAGATCTAAACCAGGACAGTTGTACCTAGATTTAAACTGGGACATTTGTAACTAGATTTAAACCAGGACAGTTGTAACTAGATTTAAACCAGGACAGTTGTAACTAGATTTAAACCGGCACCTCTAATGGAGACCACCATCAGTTGGTGGCACTCTTTTTCATGTTCCAAGTGACTGTGGACTGGACTATACCATATGGCTGTGGAATAGGGGAAGTGGACTGTACCATGTAGCTGAGCGGCGGGGGTGTCGTCTATTGAGGTGTTGCAGCTCCTGTGGTGGAGCATGTCGTCATCACTGGATCCCATCGCAATGGTTTCCGACAGCGACGAATGACTGGTTACTTCCTGGGAAAAGTACTGAGATAGCTCCGCCTCCGAGCTCAGAGACCCTTGCTGCTCATAGAGAGAGAGATTAGATTAAAGCAAGACGAAAACGTAGATTTGTGTAAGAAGGAAGACTCAAAGCCTTGTTCCATTTACCCTATTTATCCTATGGATCTAATGAGAGTCTGAGAGCTACAGGAAGAATAGTTGAGGTCAAGGTCTTGTCTCAACCCAATATGATTCAGCCGCAAAACATTGGTGGTTCCTAACAATAGTGAATGGACATTGATTGGTGATTGATTGATTGGTTAACTACCAGCCCTCCAGGACACCTACAGCACCCGATGTCACAGGAAGGTCAAAAAAATATAATCAAGGACAACAACTACCCGAGCCACTGCCTGTTCACCCCGTTATCATCCAGAAGGCGAGGTCAGTACATGTGCATCAAAGCTGGGACCGAGAGACTGAAAAACAGCTTCTATCTCAAGGCCATCAGACTGTTAAATAGCCATCACTAGCACATTAGAGGCTGCTACCTATATACATAGATTAGAAATCACTGGCCACTTTAATAACACTAGTCACTTTAATAATGTTTACATATCTTGCACTACTGATCTCATATATATATATATATATATATATATATATATACTATTCTCCTGTATCTTAGTATATACCACGCTGACATCTATGCCGCTCCATATACAGTGGGGAAAAAAAGTATTTAGTCAGCCACCAATTGTGCCAGTTCTCCCACTTAAAAAGATGAGAGAGGCCTGTAATTTTCATCATAGGTACACGTCAACTATGACAGACAAAATGATAATTTTTTTTCCAGAAAATCACATTGTAGGATTTTTTATGAATTTATTTGCAAATTATGGTGGAAAATAAGTATTTGGTCAATAACAAAAGTTTCTCAATACTTTGTTATATACCCTTTGTTGGCAATGACACAGGTCAAACATTTTCTGTAAGTCTTCACAAGGTTTTCACACACTGTTGCTGGTATTTTGGCCCATTCCTCCATGCAGATCTCCTCTAGAGCAGTGATGTTTTGGGGCTGTCGCTGGGCAACACGGACTTTCAACTCCCTCCAAAGATTTTCTATGGGGTTGAGATCTGGAGACTGGCTAGGCCACTCCAGGACCTTGAAATGCTTCTTACGAAGCCACTCCTTCGTTGCCCGGGCGGTGTGTTTGGGATCATTGTCATGCTGAAAGACCCAGCCACGTTTCATCTTCAATGCCCTTGCTGATGGAAGGAGGTTTTCACTCAAAATCTCACGATACATGGCCCCATTCATTCTTTCCTTTACACGGATCAGTCGTCCTGGTCCCTTTGCAGAAAAACAGCCCCAAAGCATGATGTTTCCACCCCCATGCTTCACAGTAGGTATGGTGTTCTTTGGATGCAACTCAGCATTCTTTGTCCTCCAAACACGACGAGTTGAGTTTTTACCAAAAAGTTATATTTTGGTTTCATCTGACCATATGACATTCTCCCAATCCTCTTCTGGATCATCCAAATGCACTCTAGCAATCTTCAGACGGGCCTGGACATGTCCTGGCTTAAGCAGGGGGACACCTCTGGCACTGCAGGATTTGAGTCCCTGGCGGCGTAGTGTGTTACTGATGGTAGGCTTTGTTACTTTGGTCCCAGCTCTCTGCAGGTCATTCACTAGGTCCCCCCGTGTGGTTCTGGGATTTTTGCTCACCGTTCTTGTGATCATTTTGACCCCACGGGGTGAGATCTTGGGTGGAGCCCCAGATCGAGGGAGATTATCAGTTGTCTTGTATGTCTTCTATTTCCTAATAATTGCTCCCACAGTTGATTTCTTCAAACCAAGCTGCTTACCTATTGCAGATTCAGTCTTCCCAGCCTGGTGCAGGTCTACAATTTTGTTTCTGGTGACCTTTGACAGCTCTTTGGTCTTGGCCATAGTGGAGTTTGGAGTGTGACTGTTTGAGGTTGTGGACAGGTGTCTTTTATACTGATAGCAAGTTCAAACAGGTGCCATTAATACAGGTAACGAGTGGAGGACAGAGGAGCCTCTTAAAGAAGAAGTTACAGGTCTGTGAGAGCCAGAAATCTTGCTTGTTTGTATGTGACCAAATACTTATTTTCCACCATAATTTGCAAATAAATTCATAAAAAATCCTACAATGTGATTTTCTGGATTTTTTTTCTCTCAATTTGTCTGTCATAGTTGACGTGTACCTATGATGAAAATTACAGGCCTCTCATCTTTTTAAGTGGGAGAACTTGCACAATTGGTGGCTGACTAAATACTTTTTTTCCCCACTGTATGTACAGTTGAAGTCGGACGTTTACATACACCTTAGCCAAATACATTTAAACTCAGTTTTTCACAATTCCTGACATTTAATCCTAGTAAAAATTCCCTGTCTTAGGTCAGTTAGGATCACCACTTTATTTTAAGAATGTGAAATGTCAGAATAATAGTAGAGAGAATGATTTATTTCAGCTTTTATTTCTTTCATCACGTTCCCAGTGGGTCAGAAGTTTACATACACTCAATTAGTATTTGGAAGCATTGCCTTTAAATTGTTTAATTTGGGTCAAACGTTTCGGGTAGCCTTCCACAAGCTTCCCACAATAAGTTGGGTGAATTTTGGCCCATTCCTCCTGACAGAGCTGGTGTAACTGAGTCAGGTTTGTAGGCCTCCTTGCTCGCACACGCTTTTTCAGTTCTGCCCTCAAATGTTCTACTGATTGAGGTCAGTGCTTTGTGATGGCCACTCCAATACCTTGACTACGTTGTCCTTAAGCCATTTTACAACAACTTTGGAAGTATGCTTGGGGTCATTGTCCATTTGGAAGACCCATTTGCGACCAAGTTTTAACTTCCTGACTGATGTCTTGAGATGTTGCTTCAATATATCCACATAATCTTCCTTCCTCATGATGCCATCTATTTTGTGAAGTGCACCAGACCCTCCTGCAGCAAAGCACCCCCACAGCATGATGCTGCCACCCCTGTGCTTCACGGTTGGGATGGTGTTCTTCGGCTTGCAAGTATACCCCTTTTCCTCCAAACATAACGATGGTCATTATGGCCAAACAGTTCTATTTTTGTTTCATCAGACCAGAGGACATTTCTCCAAAAAGTACAATCTTTGTCCCCATGTGCAGTTGCAAACCGTAGTCTGGCTTTTTTATGGCGGTTTTGGAGCAGTGGCTTCTTCCTTGCTGAGCGGCCTTTCAGGTTATGTCGATATAGGACTTGTTTTACTGTGGATATAGATACTTTTGTACCTGTTTCCTCCTGCATCTTCACAAGGTCCTTTGCTGTTGTTCTGGGATTGAATTTCACTTTTCGCACCAAAGTACGTTCATCTCTAGGAGACAAAACGTGTCTCCTTCCTGAGCGGTATGACGGCTGCGTGGTCCCATGGTGTTTATACTTGTGTACTATTGTTTGTCCAGATGAATGTGGTATCTTCAGGCATTTGGAAATTGCTCCCAAGGATGAACCAGACTTGTGGAGGTCTACAATTTTTGTCAACAAGAAATGTGTGGAGTGGTTGAAAAACGAGTTTTAATGACTCCAACCTAAGTGTATGTAAACTTCCGACTTCATCTGTATATATTCTTAATTCCATTGCTTTACTTAGATTTGTGTGTATTGGGTATATGTTGTGAAATGGTTAGATATTACTTGTTAGATATTGCTGCACTGTCGGAGCTAGAAACACAAGCATTTCGCTACACCCTCAATAACATCTGCTAAACACGTGTATGTGACCAATAAAGTTCGATTTGATTTAGATCGATTGATATATTGATTGTTGTGTGTAGTGTACCGTACCCTGCTGGCGGGCTCCAGGAACCTCTTCATGGTCCAGCTGAGGGAAGAGCCATCTCCCTGTTTGGCCTTCACCGTGGGGGAGGGGCTCTTAGAGGGCATGCCTAGAGGTCAGGGGTCAGAGGAAACAGGTTAGACTAGAGTCACATTCATTTACATTTACAACATTTAGCAGACGCTCTTATCCAGAGCGACTTACAAATTGGTGCATTCAACTTATGATAGCCAGTGGGATAACCACCTTTCTTTCTTATTTTTTTTTCTTTTTATGGGGGGGTGGGGGGGGGTAGAAGGATTGCTTTATACTATTCCAGGTATTCCTTAAAGAGGTGGGGTTTCAAGTGTCTCCGGAAGGTGGTCAGTGACTCCGCTGTCCTGGCGTCGTGGGGGAGCTTGTTCCACCATTGGGGCGCCAGAGCAGCGAATAGCTTTGACTGTGCTTCCGTAGAGGTAGGGGAGCCAGCAGGCCAGAGGTGGATGAACGTAGTGCCCTCGTTTGGGTGTAGGGTCAACAACCTGACTACAATATAGATATCTTTATCATGCACAACTGACTATGATTCCAGGTAAGCAAGCGCTGGCGGTAGCGCTATAGGCTCGTGGGTGTGTAAGAAATATTTTGGCTATTTTTTTATTTGGCCAACTTTTGGAGGGTTTTACACACATCCAAACTTTGCACAGGAGCTGGATAAAGATCCAATATACAGAGAAAGGGGGAATGTCCACCCACCGTTATACTGCTCGTAAATGTCATGTTTTATAAACATCATGGAACCATCTAACAGATCATATTCTGCACTTCTCCAGATCTATGAAATTACATTGAGTCATGTAGCGGGTGTTTTCACCATCAACCCACGATGGTGAATCTTTCTAATAAGTTTGATTTTTTAAATCAAATTAAACAAAAAAACAAGCAATCTGTTTTGTAAACTAACAACAATATTTCTAAATAGGATGGGGTCAAAAACTGTGTGCACACATAGGCCTACATAACATAACATTACATAATATTACATAACTTTACATAACATTACATAACATTCCCACATCTATAGAAATTACCAGGCTCCTGTCAATTGTATCACTGCCAATGTGCGAGGCAGATTCAAAAAAAGAAATCTGCCATTCATATGGCATTATAGAA